GCTCAGGAGCCGACATGTGTGTCCCACATGCAGACAAGAGCAGTCTGCGCACGGTATACAATAAACCACATTTGACTGTTGTTGTTCTTTTGGTAAAGGACCCTTAATATGTGATAGCGCTGCGTGTAAGGAGACTACTGGTTTGCGTGCGATATGTGCCCCGAAGCGACTTAGCTGCCTGGCGATTACTTAGCAAGTTCCCTGTATATAATGCAGGGAGTCGAATTTGCCTGGCGCAATTCCTCCGTTAGGGCTGGGGGCTCGCGATTATGCTTGACGCCCGAGGCAGTTCTTTACAAAACTGATCGAAGCCCCGCTATATAGAAGCAGCCGATCTTGAGGAGATCATCGCTGCTGCAATGGTGATAGGCCCGGTAGAATAGATGTCGGCAAACTTTCTTTTCTTAGAAGTGGCGGTGGTTGCTGTCGTAATTTGGGATAATCTCCGCATTGGATCCTTTCCTATTGATACTTGTTACTAGCTTACCATCGCTCAGTTTTTGTATAACAAGTAAGCTCAAGGATCTACAAGTGTAGGTCGCCATTTTCTATGCATACATGGCCGAATTCTCTCAGCGACAGCGATATAACTGCGTAATAGTAACAAACCGTTATCAGGTAGGATTATTGACAATGGCGGCAGAAAAAGTACTAGCTTAAAGCCCAGTCATGTGTTTCGCCGGTTTTTAGAATGCGAGTATCTAGACCACGGGGAATAGTGGGTAAAGCACTGATTAACCGGATCCCATAGAGCTGTGTTAAGCAGCGGCAGAATACCGGCGAAACACGTGTCTGGTCTTTTAGCCAGTAGATGCCCAATGCACTGGGTCTCAGACGGTGGTGGTTCAGTCTTGACCCGGAGATGGGCCAAGGCATCGACGGTGTGTTGTGGCGCGCGTAGAGGGGTGCTCCGGCCCTGTCAGTCAATGCTCTCACACTGTATCCAAAAACTGACCAGCTCCGACGGCGGTCTGTTGCTGGAGTTGGGGGGCGAGTTGACAGCTAAGCAAACATTCCTCACTACACACCTTTTGACGCGTTTAAAGATCTCGCGGGGCGCTAAAAACGGTGGTTTGAAAGGTTGCCGACTCACGGGATAACTGCGTCACGCGGCCAGCCCAGTGTGTGTTTTGTTATGTGGTGTGGCTTGCTGGCGGATTGAGAGACATGCTGCAATGGCTCCTTGAAAAATAGCCTTTATATAACTTCTACTCCGTGGAATTCGAGTCCGGTGCAGCGGTACGGTGTGCGAGCACCTCCGGCCACGCGAGCCGCCGGCGCTCTCTCCCGACTCCGGTCTTTCTGACTCGGTCATGATACCGGGCTTAGGAGAGGAAAGGGAAGAGAGTGCGGTAAACAAAACGCTTGTCTACTACCACTTAAAAGTAATCCACGCATTAATCTCCACTTTTGCGATCAGCTTGTTGAAGCACATGGCGGACCCCGTCAAAGTTGACGGTCGAACTGGCGTGCTACCTGTATAATAAATGATTAGGTAGATTCAAATATATTTAATATACTGTTGCTCCCTTGGGGAAACTGTGTCATTATGGTTGTGGTGTGATACAATTCATAAATTTCATTGTTATTTTCAGGATCAAACATTGTTTTAGATTGCAAGAACGTGAAACAACCTTTCCTCGTTCCAGGCAAAAACGGTGTTACTTTACTGATAAGCAGGTATTAGGACCTGTATAAGCACAAGCTTATAGTTGAAAAAAATAGATATATATATACACATGTAAGGGGAGGTTTCAAAGGAATTTCATTCACGACTTTATAACCCTACATTCAAACAATGTCAAACGCCTAGCTAAATAACCAAGGAGTCAGGTAGTTTAAAAGAACAATTCAGTGCAGTGCCTGACAGAGATAGTCAATCCGTGTTTGTGTAATACATATCCCTCATAGAGATCCAATAGACTGTCGGTTAAGTTAAGATACACAGTGAGTGCTCAAGTCGATTTGTATGAGGTTCACATTTTGCTCTTTCCTTCATGTAGAAAGTTTTCGGAATTTGCTAATTCGATATATTTGACGGATTATAAGAAAATCAAACAACATATCCTGCTGTCTTTGTCTTTGCAGGAGTTATCCGTTAACATGGACCACACATACTAAGGAACAAGACCATAACTGACTCTGATTTTCGCTGCAATAAAAAATCGTAGTGTTCCAGTCGAATGGGGTTGTGTATACTTGACTTTGAAATTGACCCCCAGGTGAAGGCACATTACCTCATCCTCCGGCTAGATCACAGATGATTTAAAAACAGAAAATGGACCAAAGATTCTCTCAGTTATGCTCATCATGTCATTTTTCGCTAACTGGCTATGAGCGAAGCATTGGAATATAAGAAATGAGTGAAGGGAGGGGAGAGGGTTGACAGCCCATCCCTTAACATATTTGAAAGAATTCATCTTATTCATTGAGGGCTGGCAACTGCACAATTAATCTTATGTTGACAGATCAAATATGCTTATCCCAACTGCTGTCTGAAAGTTATAACTCTGATCTTTCAGGCGTAGTCAAGAATGCTTTTGTTCGCGTTCCAACGCAAGTTTCCTTCTTAGTAAAGCCCTGTTCCGGAAACATTACAAAAATGGAGCATAAATCTCTCCCGGTATAAGTACAGATTGGAATTTGAAAGGATCCATCCTTATTGGAAATGTCTGCCTACCACAGGGGATTACAGCGTAATATAGGGTCTGAGAACTTAATTCCAGCAATTCCATGGCAAATGACAAAAACTTCTGACGTAACACTTTGGTCATTGAGCTGTAAATTCCCTGTTGCCTCTTCCCTGCTTACACGACTAGCAGGACGCTTCGCTTAGTCGTGTGCGCGTCAAAATTACAGCTAAGTTACAACATGGAGGTCGCAGGAACGCTAACCTGTTCAGTATTCACTGCATTCTCTTCTCCTTCATCTACTTGGGTCAACTACATTCAAAAAGATAGGAGTTGACTAAGACTACGCG